AAATTAAGTAATTGAATAGGAATAGAGCCTAATCCACATTAGGACAATTAAATTCAGTTTGCTTTATGCCATAAAATGATGAGATTAATTTAATTTACGTGAAGTTAATTTTAATTAATTTCTTAGCCTTAGTTGCATGAATTGAAAAATTAATAAAAAAAAAAAAAAAAAGGAAAGAAAAGAAATTGAATACAATAAGGTGTAAAAAAAAAAGAGAGAAAGAAATTGAATACAATAAGGTGTGCATGTGTCCTACTCATCTATGCATCTATGTAGCTGGTGTAAGGCAAACAGTGGGTCTTGTTGGGTTTACACTATTCAGACACGTAGAGAGAGAGAGAGAGAGAGAGAGAGAGAGACGGAAAGGCTTTGAAGGTGAGAGTTCAACTTAGAGTTCAACATAGAGAAGAAGAGCAGAAAGAGGGAAGTAAAGGAGAGGCTTAAGGAAACATACACCTACACCTTCTTCTTCACAATTCACCCACTCTAGGTAAGATTTCTCCACTCTAATCCATGCATTTGAAGAATCATGCTCATGACTATGGAATTCAAGATTAACCAAGAAAAATATAGGTTAAGAGAAAGATTAGTTCTTGTAATAAGAAGGTTGTTGCATGCATGGCTTTAAGTGAAAGGAATGAGTGAATTAACTCTTAAATTCACCTTGCATGGCATGAATTCTTCATATCCTTGTTGTTGCTTGTAGTTAGACATAACTTCATGCATGAGCCTCATGAACTCAAATGATTTCTTCATGAGTTTGTTTTGCATGTAACATAGGTTCCGACAGAGGCCTAAGAAGCCAAAGGGACTACCAACAACCCCCTAGGAAGCCACAGGGACTGCCAACAGCTCCCTAGAAAGTGATAAAGACGGGCGACAATGCCTAAGAGGCTGTCGAGAGAGCTGGGCAAGGGTGTGGGGACTAGGGTTTGACTGTAGGTAGGCTGGGTGTGGCCTACTATGACAACCATCTCCCTAATTAAGCAAATTAATTATCTTAATTATATGCTTACCGTTATTTATATGGTTATGTGGTAATTGTGGATCATGTGCCATATGATACATGCTTGTATTGATTGACATTGTATTGGTATTGTTATTATGTGTCATGAATTAAACCTATCTGACTCGTTAAATTTTATCAGGTTGAAATTAAGTAATTGAATAGGAATAGAGCCTAATCCACATTAGGACAATTAAATTCAATTTGCTTTATGCCATAAAATGATGAGATTAATTTAATTTACGTGAAGTTAATTTTATTTAATTTCTTAGCCTTGGTTGAATGAATTGAAAAATTAATAAAACAAATAAATAAATTGAATACAATAAGGTGTGCATGTGTCCTACTTATCTATGCATCCATGTAGTTGGTATAAGGCAAACAGTGGGTCTTGTTGGGTTTACACTATTCAGACACGTAGAGAGAGAGGGAGGGGAGAGGCTTTGAAGGTGAGAGTTCAACTTAGAGAGAGAGAGAGAGAGAGAGAGAGAGGGAAAGGCTTTGAAGGTGAGAGTTCAACTTAGAGTTCAACAGAGAGAAGAAGAGAAGAAAGAGGGAAGTAAAGGAGAGGCTTAAGGAAACATACACCTACACCTTCTTCTTCACAATTCACCCACTCTAGGTAAGATTTCTCCACTCTAATCCCATGCATTTGAAGAATCATGCTCATGACTACGGAATTCAAGATTAACCAAGAAAAATATACGTTAAGAGAAAGATTAGGTCTTGTAATGAGAAGGTTGTTGCATGCATGACTTTAAATGAAAGGAATAAGTGAATTAAATCTTAAATTCACCTTGCATGGCATAAATGAGTAGTTAGACGTAAATTCTTCATATCCTTGTTGTTGCTAGTAGTTAGACATAACTTCATGCATGAGCCTCATGAACTCAAATGATTTCTTCATGAGTTTGTTTTGTAATTCAATCAAAATGTAATCTTTGCAAATTAAAACTTTGGGAGTTGATTTCAAGTGTTAATCTCTAGTTTGATCTCCCTTTACTATTGAGGGTCCAAATTCAAGGTTGTTGATACAAATCTATGGGTTGAAACATGTGAAATTGACACCAAAACGTGGTGACATTGAAGACCCAAAACATGGCAGATTTTCGGACCCAAACAGACCCAACACCGCATGTGCGGCTTGGGGCCCCGCACGTGCTGAAAACAGGGCAGATTGGTGGTGCATACTGAAATAAATGCAGGTGCGGGGGGCACGTGTGGCAATGGTCCCACACGTGCGGCCAAGCCCTCCGCACGTGCGGCCCTTTTGGGCAGCCCCAGCATGTTTTTCGCTCATCTTTTCCACCTTCCGGGCCTCCGTTTGCATCGTTTTAAAAGTGTTTTTCATATGCATTGCATCTCATGAGTGATTGAATGAAAATTAGAACCGATTAGAACCAAAAAAGTGAGCAACGAATAGAAATTGACCGAATAAACAACGAAGTGAATAGAAATAGAATGATTGAATCCGACGTGGATGTAATTGAGTTGTTGTGCTTGAATTTGTTTGTTTAAGTCAGACATTGCGTCTTTAGTGCATTTTAGCACGTGTTCCACAGAGCCCACTGTGAATAACAATGTTGTAAAGCTATGCTCAATTAGAATTATTTTCTGAATGATTAACTGTACTGCTTTTTGAAATGATACTGTTTATTAAATGAATGTTTGTCCTATTTTAAGAATTGTACTCGTGGCATCCATAGCAACTGACTGTTACTGTTACTGCTACTGCTACTGTTGCTGCTACTACTACTGTTACTGTTACTACTACTGTTATAGAGATCTCTGTCAGTTCCAATGTTGGAACTACTGTTTACTGTTTTGATGGTCATCAATTGACTGTTCGGTCTTTTAAGACCTACTGTACTGTTCTGCTACTGGATGTACCACGTATGACTGCTATGATTCCTATATGATAGATATGATATGAAATATGAGATATTGATCACACAAATGATCTACTAATGCAATTGACTGTTTTAAATACTAAAATTCTTAACCCCTTTACACATTTGTTATTCACTTGGCTTTAGCTCACTGTGTATATATATGTATATAGGTAATCAGGCACCCGAACGGAGCTGGCAGCGTTGGCCCCGATTTCGTTTTGTCAAGCCAACCGTTGTGCCTCGCTACGAGGCTTCGATCCGTTGTTGTCAAGGCTTTTTGGGTGATCTAATTCCACCCTTTTTGGAAAGTTGTTTAATGTCAAAGTAAATGTTTTATACTTTGTTTCGGGCTTAGGATTTAATTCCCTAACATGTCTTGGATGTTTATGACTTAAGCTTTTATGTGTATGTTGGATATGGACTTGGACTTATGTGTGCATTGGTATATATGTTCATATGGAAGTTGTTTGATCATTTACGCTTTCATAGCTCTTTGGACATTATGTTTTAATATGTACAGGCTTCTACCGGCCCTTTTTATTGTTTAATTGTTATTACTGTTAAGCAGGCCTTTGGTAACCACAGATTACTGGCCAGTTACGTTCCTAAACTCTTAGGAGCGGTTTTGGATTGTGACAGCTACAGTGGTCGGTCTAGACTGTTTTGATGGTCTGGACTGTTTTGACGGGAGAGGAAAGGCAACAGAGAGATGGGGCTAAGGTTTTGGCTTTGATACCATGTAGGTTTAGAGAAGAGAAGGAATTAGGGAATGAGTTAGACTTCATTCCCTTTTATGTTAATAATATTGAGTAATTACAGGAGTGCCATAAGGCATAATATATGGGCCAACCCATTACACCAATCAAAGAAATAAATAAGAATCATAAAATACAATCACTTATTTCCCATTCCAACATGTTGTAGTAAAAGGGTTATGAAGTTTTAAAATTTAACTGAGCAATTAGCTCTTGACAGCGTGGAAAAGCGGAAAAAGTTCATGTAACGAACTCCAATTGATTGGGATCCAAAGGTTCAATTTGGTTAAGATCAAATCCTTTTACCTATGAAGCACAAACACCTCCCAAGGTCATGTACCGGACACAGACATGCGTCAGACACATTCCGAACAAGTGTCAAACATGCTAGAGGAATTGGACACGTTGGGACACGCGATGTCCTTTGTTCTTTTTTTTTTTTTTCCTCACTAGAATAGCATAGCCAAGGTTGATAAATTTGATGAGAATAATATTTGACATAAAATATTATATAATATTAAAAAATATGACATATAATAAATAAATGAAATTTTATATTTTGTGTGTTGTGTCTTGCATTTTAAAAAATTTATGTGTCAATGTCATGTCATGTCATGTGTTTGTACTTCTTAGCCATTTACATTTTCCTTTTTTCCCATGAAGAGAATATTAAGAGTAAATATCACGTGTTGTACATGCATGTTTTTTTAAAAGTTACATAGCATATATATATGCAATATTTATAAACTTAAACAGTTCTGCATTGTGAAAACAAGCATAATAGTTTTGCTTCAAACACAGAAATTAAGGTTTTAGAGACAAAAATTTAGGGACAAAATCACTTTTTAAGGACAAAATATTTGTCACCAAAAGTGTTATTATTTTATTTTTAGTGACAAAATTGGACATATAGTGATGAATTACTACCCTTTTGGTACCACAAGTTGTGTCTCAAAAAACAAACCTTTTTTTGACCAAGTTATTTTGTTCCTAAAAGTGCATTTATTAGAGACACTTTAAAAAATTTGTCCCTAAAAGCTCATTTTTTGACTTTTTGGGACAACCTTTTAACAACTGTCCTCGTGACAACTGAAATTAGTCCCTAAATGTTTTTAGCAACAAAATTTATACTTTTAGAGATTAAAAAAAAAAAAAAAACTTGATCTCTAAAACTTTTATATGTTGTAGTGTTATACAATCCTACAGAAAACAGTAAATAATTAACTAAATCAGGTCAATACATGTAGAACGAAAACTAATAATGCTCAAAATGGAACATCACATCACATGCATTATATAATATGCTTAAAAGCTGCATACCCCAACTTGTCATTGGATAAGTTTTACCTGCTGCAATGGAGAACAGTGGATATGCCTGAACTCACGGAAGTGCTTTTTAAGATATTCTTGCAACTTAGGAACATCTTGTCTCCTAAAAATATCCCAGACAGCGCCTCCATCTGCATGTTCCAACCCTTCCAAAAATGTTCGTGCATTTGAATATCCGGCACTCTTCCCACTTTTGTTTTGGTCCAGTTTTTTCACTTCACTCCTTTTAGAAGCTTGAGCTCTATTTTGATGGCCTTTGTTTACTTTCTCAGAATTATCTTTTCCTACCTCCTTAATTGGAATACCTTGTGCCTTGTCAGTAGATCCTTGGGTATTGGATACATCATCTTTTCCTTCTCTAGTGAGACACCTTTGGCTCGACCCCTTGCTGTTTTTTTTCTCAAACTCAGTTCTCAGTTTCTTGGACTTGCTTCGCATAGCTGCAAGTAGTTTCCCTCTCTTCCGCTTTCTAATTTGAGGACCTTTTCTTGTCCTTGCATATGCTTCATCCTCAATGTTGCTATCTTCTTCTGATAAAAAAGCAGAATGACATTCTTTATCTAGCTTCTTATACACAACACCATTTAAATCGTGGTATAGATCAACTTCACCTGCTTGTTCAGTTACTCCTTTAGCATTTACAAAACCACCATCATCATATTGTCTATCATCTAAAGGCATGTTATGAGACCCACCACCACCCAAAATAGGAACTTCACAGCAGCTTGATACTTCAGCAACAGCATCAGTACTTGACTGAATACCAGAATCACCTGGCCCAGACTTCTCCATTAATTGGGAAAGCTGCTGCTTCTCAAAAATTTCTCGCTGGTCTTGGTTAAAGTGCTTTTGTTTCAACTTCTCTATTATGGAAAGCTGATCCGGTGCAAGATTTACTGCATTAACCTGAGTCAATATATTCACCTGAAACAGCCAATCATTAGATTTAAGAGCCCTTTTCCCCAGAGGGGAAAAATTATGGGAAATGGAAATACTACAAATGCCAAGTTTGACACAATGGAGAATTTAAGGGTCAACTATGCCTGCCTCAAAACATAAGGTCAGTGATGCAAGCTTCCATTTCGGCCATATACTGACATAGCAGTTGTGACAATATCACTAGTAAATTTTCTGAACATATTGGCATTAGTTTATTAAGTCTACAAGATCAAAAACAAGGTTATTATACATAATTAATGTAAAACTAATAACAGAATGACAGTCGTAGTAATGTTATATAGCATTACAATGGCTTCAAATCTCCATCATATAAAACACAATTGTGTAGAAGATTGCTACAATAATGTTATTAAAGCCCTCATTTAGGGATCGGGTATATTGTTACAAAGACATAGAAACCTACATACATAAATATAAGCATACAGATATACACACACATGCATATCGTGTGTGTATATATATCATAAAGATTTTGATAAATGGGATTGATGTCCTGTAATAAGTTTTTTTACAAAAAGCATAAGCCTGCCTCAGCATAACTTTACACATAACAGTACTAGTGATGAATGAACTCATTCGGCTCTTATCTACCTGGATTACCCTTTAACCTATGCTTAACAACCAACCACAACATATTTATCAAAAAAACAAAAAAAAACGACAACCAACCACAACATCTGCAAATAACATAAAGGGAAGCAAGACAACCAAAAAGTCCACCCAGCTAAATAGAAGTTTTCCAGAAGTGCAAAATTACAGTACCAGAAACCTAAAGAAACAAATAGTACCACATCAAACATATTACAGTGAAGCTTGGTCACGGAGTCCCCACGCCCCAGCTCCTGAGCAACCCCATAAGCAATATCTGTTTTCGGTCCCAAGTTTGGCTGCAAAATATTTTTTGGCAATTTGACAGCAAGATTGAGAAAACCAATGTGAGGATGTGTATATTCCTTGAAGGGCAAACAATTGATAAACTCAGCACCATGACGAGGTAAGCGTTCCTTAAAGGAATTAGATGGAGGCCAATCTTTCAATTTCAGTAACTGAGGCCACGACCAACTGTCAAATCGACCCTCCAAGTACCCCTTGAAGAACTGGCAAATATTAATCTTTACCTGTTCATCACATTAGAATCACCTATCAAAATCATTCAACAATAGATAAGAAAAGAGAGAGTTGAATCATATGAAGTGCTGGACTCCCTTGGGACCACACCCAGGGCCTGTGCACAGTGGCAGTATGTGTGGGCTGAGCGGATTACGGCCTCGTTTGGTATCACTTATAAGTAATAAGTAAGTTTTTATGATTATAACTTTTTAGATTATTAACTTAAAAGAAATAAAACAAGTTAAAAATTGATTTTTTGCAGCTTTTCGTAATCTGTAAAAATAAAAACAAAAAAGTTGAACATGGTTGGTTAAATAAGTTGTCATGTAGTTTTTTTGTCGTGAAAAATCCAAAATGCCCTCAAAAGTCATAATTAAGGCAAAAGAGATAGGACTCTTTTGTCCATAATTATTTAAGGGTTTTAAATAAGCTAAAAAGGCTACAAATTGTAGCTTAAGAAACTCACTTATTTGGGAGCTATAATCTAAAATTGCAACCAAACACCATTAGTCAACTTACTTTAATCAAATAGGTCAAATAAGTAGACTTATAAGTTATAAGTGTTACCAAATGGGGCTTACATGTACCCAGGGCCTAGTCGGGGCGAAGCCCTGTTTACACTCGTTGCCAAAAGAAAAACAAAGGCAGAGAGAAAGGTGGAATGAATGTTAGAAATTGCATGAAAATAACAGCACTATACATAGCATGATACTATTGAAGATCCTTTATTTGGGTCAATGAAAGAACATGTAAAACCATAATATCTAAGAGGGGTTAAAAACAAGTAGACTAACCTACGAACAAATGAAGGATTAATGCGGGCAAATTTCAGTTAATGTTTCTTCCCAATAACCATTCCAATTGGAGTCAAGCTTATACAAATCAGATTCTACTACAATCCCTTGATGCAATTTTTTTCGCTGCAGCATGCAATGTAAGCTTTCAAAAGGCTTCTTTTTTTTTTTTTGTCGACTAATCCTGAGGGCCCGAAGTTAATGACCGAGCAAACCCCAATGGCCCCTTGGAGTGACTCGAACTCGAGACCTTGGATCTTATCCTCAAGTCTTTACCACTCGGCCAACCCCTTGGGGTTAACTTCAAAAGGCTTTAAGAGAGGAGAGGTGAGAAATTGACAAGAAGTAACAAGGAATTAAAGGCAAAAACAGACGAGTAAATACAGGAATGAAGAGTGAAGACATGAAAAATCAACTGGAGAGAGTGACAGGCTAAAAGAGTAGTAATTGTTAACTTGGTCAACAACTGTTGGGGAATAGGGGGAGTTCATGCTGCTGCTGTTTCAAAAGTGCAAAGATCTGTTGCCGTAGTCTTTGCAACAAAAATAGGGCATTATAGGCCATGAAGAAATGATCATTTATCAAGAGTTGTCACTTTGCTCTTTCCAGAACAAACAATTGAAATGAAAAAAAGAGCTTTCTGCTTTCAACCTATTTTGCTGCTTCTAAAGTAAAATATTGAGCATTACTTATCCCAAAAAAATGTAAAAATCAAGCATCATTGATCAGGAAAAAAAAAAAAAAAAACAACCATTTTCAACTACATAACAAGAAAACCATCTAAAATAGAAAATCATATTCAAATTTTCTGCTGAGAAAACCAAAAATAACCTTTCTTCTCCATTTGATGTAATTTTCTCTCATAATTTAGCTGGTGTATGGGAAATTAATATGAATTCTTTTTTCAGGGTAGCTTCTCATGTTCCATGTTGTCTTCCAAGAACGTCTATCACTCACATCCCACCCCAGCTTACAGCATCGGTTCCCAAAGGGACTATTGCTTCACATCAACTCCACCACATGGTGAAATTGTAACGCTTTCCTACAAAAGAAAGAGAACAAGGATCTTCCGGATAGGTTATATCCTAGCAGGAATTTTCTGCTGCAAGGTAAGAATAAAGTTTCTACGTTTCAAACCTAAGAAGAATGTACACTTCTATGGAGACACTCCAAAAAGCATATCTAACACTTCTTCAACGTCTCATAATTATAATTTTCAATTCATAATATCAGACACTTTACCACACTTCTCGGACACTTCAGCGACACTTCTTGAACTCTCCGAACACGGCCTATGAAATGAATCTCTTCATAGTGACAACAATGTTCTGTATTCTTCATACTACAATTTGTGAATGCAAATATGTTTTGAAACGTTTATAAGCTGAATGTTTGATGTGCATTTTAATGCTCTAAATTTTAATGTGTCCTAAAGTTGTTTTGTATTCTTTAGAATGCAATTATTACACAAATGATAACTTGATGTTTAAGTTATGGAATATATGACTTTTTAAATGTTAATTAGTGTTATTTGACATATAATAAATTTATAAAAATATATATTTAACATGTCCTACGTATATCAGGTCTTTCATTTTTTTTAAAATCATCGTGTGAATGTTTTCGTATTGTGTCGCATGTCCATGACTGGGCTACTTAATTTCAAACCATATAGATATCCATATCAAGCAACACTTGAGACCCTAAGGCATAAAACTAAATGCATTTAAACTCGGGCTAAAATATTTGCACTTGTAGCTTTTCACTTAGAAAATATGAGGAAGAAGAACTCCGAAAATATGAGGAAGAAGGAATATATTTCTGTTATATTCAAAACTTCTTATGTTACAAGACCAAATGACACTCCTTATATAGGAGATATTACAAACATCATTATAACCCATTATATGCCACTTACATATTATATATTACCACTATCTACCACTATCATTTTGTTCTCTTGTTCTTCTGTTAATATTTACGTAAGTTGAGGATACGAGGTCATATTGCAATGCTAGGGTTTGTACATATATTTTGTTGATGTAGAGTTGAGAATATTATTATTATTCAAGATATATAAAATTTCTCTCTGTTCTTCTTCTTCTTCCTAAATCCTAACCCTAAATTTCTTTATTTTACATTCTAACTTGGTATCGGAGCGCAATCTATTCTTCATTAGAAAGTGTTCTACAAACTCTGGAGTTCGATTGGAGGTGACTAGGACGTGCTAATGTCATCAGTCATACGATGATTTCAGCATGACGTAAGCACTGTACAGACGGGTCCTTCACCCCCAAGATTCGAAATTTCATCCTCAAATTTATGATGAACTTTGTGGATTTTTTTTGTCATCCTTAATGTGAGTTTTCTATTTTCAAATGTTTTTTGTGCCACTCTTCAAATCTGGATTTGAGACTTGTTTTTGCTAGTTCTTGCTGAAATCATACCTATAGGAGCCGAAAATCACTCTCCCAGTGATATTTGCTATTATTTTGTTGATTTACTTCTGTTGGGTTGATGTTTGGTTCGTTTTTTGGCCTCTCTGGTTCAGAATTATTTGGCAGCCATAGTTTCCTGTTTATACCTATTGAAATTTACTGTGTAGGGGCCAGAAATCATCTAGCAAGGGCTGTTTGCTCTTAAAGTATTGATTTGAGTTGGTGGGTTGTTGTTTTGGTTGAATTTGGGTTCGAATTTGTTTGGTAGACATATGTTCTCCCCACTCATGTCTCTTTTGTCATGGATTCTTGTTGATTGAGCTAGTTCCAGTATCTATATTGATTGTTGTGGGTGATTCCTACTTGCAGGGATTTTGCTACCTTTGTGCTCTTGTGTTGAGTATTTTGTGTGATTGATTGTCATGGTTGAGATTGAGACTAAGGCTATGGCTGTGAGTAAGCATGATGACATGCCTAAATCTACAAGAAATTGAATGGTGCCAATTATTTGGCTTGGGCCCATGCTATCAAAATTTTCTTACATGGCAAGAAGAAATCTCGCTTCATTAGCGAATTCCCTCCTGCCACTGATGACAAAGCTCATGATGATTGGTGTAGTGAGGATTCCTGTGTTATGGGTTGGATTTGACATAGTTTGGACCACATGTTGCTACTGCCATAAAATTTTGTGATGCCTCTAAGGAAATTTGGGACTCCCTTACTAAATATTTTTCAAATTAGAGTAATGTCTCTCGTGTCTATGAACAATATGAGCATATTTTTGCTATGCACTATTAGAATAGGAAACAATATTTTATATATTTTATTCTTACTTGTTTTTCTTTGCTGTAATGGCTGGCCCATAATTCATGCCTAATGGCACTCCTATAATTACGCTTTAGTTTTAATATAAAAGGGGATGAGGTCTCACTCATTCTCTATCTCTTTCTCTTCTCTAAACTAACATGGTATCGAACCAAAACCCGACCCCACCTCTCCTTTCCTCTTTTTCTCTTCTGTCGGCATCACCCACCTATCCAGCACCACTACCGGCAGTCCCTTTTCACCTAGGAGCACTGCCGGCAGTCCCTTTGTTCATCCAATAGACCAGTCGGCACTTGTAGGCTATCACCCAGCCATCGGATTGGCCATTCTCAGCCTGGGTCTTGCCCGATAGCCTTATAGGCTTTGTTGGCTGCTAGGTTCCTCTCCTGCGTCTCTCTTCTTCCTGCTCTTCCCCTTAGCAGCCTTCTCCAGGTTCTGCTGAGGAGCTCTCTCCAGCCGACCAACCTTCTTGTTGGCTTGGTGTGGTTCGACTAACTGTTTTAGGGTCACCACAGGCTTGTTGATGTATTAAGTCTTCAAAAAAAAAAAAAAAAACGAGTTCTTAATCTTCTAATATTTTTTTCTTGTGGTCATTGTGCTTTATCTTCTAAAACGAGTTCTTAATCTTCTCAGCCATCTAAGAGCAAGAGTTCCATTATACCTCCTACTATGACTGATAATTTCAATCATAGCCTTAAAATCACTACTTCTCTATTCATTGTTCAAAACTATCTAGCGTAATCGCAAAGTCTGACTATTTTTTTGAAGAGCAGAGGAAATATGGGCTATGTTGATAGCAGGATACAGGCACCCAGCACCACGGACCCAAGTTATGATTAGTAGGAAATTACCAACTCCCACATCATGGATTGGTTGATACATTCTATGGTCCTAGAGATTGGAGAGGGCTACTTGTCTATGGACACTGCACAGGATATCTAGGAGGCTGTA